AGTTATTATTCTTAAGAATTATTTATTGTTTAAATATGTGCAAGGTATAACGTACTCATCTCATAGTTTAACATTCTGATTTTGGCTTCCCTGAGTCATTTTATTGTGGGCCTTCAAATAAACAAATCAAGTTTGTTATAGCTTTTTCTAATGGAAGCAAGATAAATGATCTCTGGTTTTAATCATTTCTTTCAACTGGGCAGCTACATAAAGTGTTGCTAATGCTTAAGAATAGGTATAACAGATGAGTAAAATCACAAAATAAGTTTTCACTAAAGTGGCATGAATATTTACCGGGGAAAGGTAATCATGAGCAGTTTTAGAATATATACAAAGAGCAACTGAGTAAGTTAAATTTGTTAAGTTACATACATGGTTATAGAAAGTAAATACACTAAGTTAGAATTCATTAGGTTCTTATAAGCAATTATTTAGAGTTTGGACAGTTCTGTTATTTGCTTGATGAACTATGTTGTTATGATCTTTATATAGAAATGGGAAATTTGACTTAAATCAGGGAGTTATTTCTCATCCATGTATCAAGATAGAATGACAGTATTCTATAATGTATTGTAATATATACTTGGTGATAAATGGATTGGGTGCTGTCACAAGTCATTAGGTCGGCTTTGAAGATGTATGACTAGAACGTAAGCAACTTTTTATCTTACTGTCGATATTTATGAATTTATAAATATTACTAAAGTGAATATAGATTTGTACTATTAAAATATGATGGAAACTGTAATCTGCTCGGATTTGTTTCTTGTGCTTTTTTTGTCTTATGGTGGATGTTCTCTCTTGTATGTGTACATTTGTATACTTCTGACGTTTTCACTTTCATTTTTTTCCTTGTACGTTAAAATCAGTGTTTCGTACTGGAATGTATAATGCATGGAAAAAGCATATCCTTGATTAAATACATTGACAGATTATTCTGCATTAGATGTAGAATTTTATTTTTATATTAAGTTTGTAGAATTAATTGTTTGTGTCACTAAGGTCAAAATAGTTGCTAAAAAACCATGATTGCTTTGCAGGGTAGATTTGAGCTTGCATTTTGAGTATTCATTAAGTCAGTGCTACGAAGATAATCTTTTTAAAATGTTTTATGGGAATTTATTGCTTAGAAGCTGTTTCAGTTGACTATGTATAAAATTATTTTTCCAAAGCAGTTTTATTTCTTTAGTATATCACTTATTACTAGCATTTAATTAATACAAAATACAAATAGTATTTCCAAAAATAAAAATTTGATGCTAGCATTTAGATTATCTTGATGATGTAAAAATAGAAGTTTTGCTCTCTTATGTGTGATTATTGTGATTATTATTTGTGTTTTTTCCTTGTGATTAAGGGGAAGGAAGATAACAGGGGGGAGTTTTTTTATCTTATGAGGTCTTGAATTAGGTGTTGACAAAGCTTGTGTTTTTGTATGCTGGACAGTAGTGCTATTTACTAAACCAGTAGAAACTTTCATTTTGATTTCTTGAAAGAGAAAATTAATTTTCTCATACTGTACGGGATATTTGTATTATAAAGTGACATAAAAACCTGCAACTGTTACACCTGTGGCAAAAGCTGATGCCATAAAGAACACTGATGACATGTAAGTTAAATAGAAAACTTCCTATTGCATCTCATGATACTTATTGTTATCTAAATGGACCATGGCATATGAGGCTGAAAAATGCTTCTTCCTAGTGATTTAAAACAGAAGTTAAAATCATGGAAAATTTTGCAGAAGTGATAGAGGCTCTCACATCACAAGTTCAAAAGGAGCAAAATTCTGTTAGGTTTATTCATATGAGTTTCAGAGCAGGTATTACCCAAATAGCAGATGCTGAGCTAGCAAAGGAAAGTATGTTTTACAAATGCAGGCACACACATGGTCTAATCTTTAATTTGTAATAGAATTGAGAATGTCCTAAAATACCAGAATGTAATTTCACTGAAGTCCTGATATGTCCCTAGAACTATTTCTTATTATTAGTCTTTATTTTTTTGAGTCCTGCTCTGTGCTTCTGCAAACACAGTTTTTTTCCCGCAGTTGAATTACTGGAGAAGGGCTAAATTCAAACGCAGACTGTCTGTCCACCTACTGACACTACAGCTGGACTAAAAAGAGCATATTTCATTTTCCACGTCTGCCATCCTAATCTTTGATGAGTCCCTTACTGCCTGATTTTGCAAAAAATCTGAGCACATGGCTATTTAATATAGCTTCCAGGAGGTGGGTCTCATTGGGACCACGCCTCAGTATTTCCACCTGTGAAATGGTAATGATAATATGTATCTGGCTTACCTATTTGTTTCTGAAACAATTCATAAGCTAGACACTTGACTACATGAGCCAAACGATCGAATTAAATATTATAAAAACCCCCTATCATATCCCAATGTGTTATTTTGATGTAAATACATATTTTCAGACATAAGGTTTGTAAAAATGTCTACTGCTTGTGCAGCCATATAGTTTTCTAGAGCTTTCCTTCAAATAGATGCAAACATAAAGACAATGTTCATCACAAAAATATATAGGAACACCCAAATGTGTATATTCGGACAAACTGCTATAATATCATGGAAGGATCTGTAGAAAAGCACATTGAAATAAGTGTACCTACTTTTTTCCTAAGGAGAAAATAAGTTTAATAAATCTAAACCTAAATTTACAG